AAATAAGAGAACTGATACGGAATGCTAATAATCCTATTGAAATTAAGAGTGGAGCCATAGGAGAAGATAAGAAGTTCACAAGGCGTAGGTTTAGCCCTCCCTAAAAAGAAGTAGCTACAATTAGATGTTTAGTTCAGGATAACCTGGCACTTGGAGTCTTCCAACTCAGGATAATTTGAACATAAATTGGAACTCTGAAAGCTAAAGCACTAGGAAAACAACATCAAGGAAACAAAATGAGAACAGTCATCCCAAATGACACACCATGAAGACAACACAAGGCCCTCAAAAAGTGGTTTTATTCTAAAAAAAATTATTAAATACTGAACTACATTGCCAGAAAATACTTATAGCACATCCACTACAAGGCACTCTTAAGAGCAGATTCCCTTCCTGGGAACCAGCTAAGTAGAGCTTCTCCCTGCCTAAGGGATGCTGCTTTAGTCCTTTCCAGCCCCAATTTCACCACCCAACAGAGAAAGAGATTCTGCAGTTGAGAACACAGGTTCTTTGTACCAGTGACAAAATCAAGTTACACCAAAACCAATAAATCCATGCTCAGAGAATGCTTTTAAAGCTATTAAATTCTCCTCCTATTCAGTCTTTAGAAAGGGGATAATTAATATTTCTTAACTCTTTAAGTACATTTAGATCAATGGAAGGAACATAACGCAAATAAAAACAATGAGAAGAAAAAGTTACCTTGGGGGGGAACCCCACCCCTTGATGCACAGCCCTGTCAGATAGCATGGTGCATTGCTCAGGAGCACAGGTAACTCTGAGATGAGAGGTGCCTCTGTCATCCCCACCACCTTTAAGAGGTGCTTTCCAGGAAGGGGAGGAGCTAGCATAAACAACTCCAAAAGCCTTGAGGAATTTTCATTTAGGGTTGGGGTTTTTTTGCTTTTTAAGCCTTCAAATTCTCATGGCCTATACACAGAAATGTTTCTTCTTTTGGGTGAAGGATTGCAGGGTTATTGAGGGAAAAGAAGTATTAATTTTGCCTTACTAATAAAGCTGCCTAAGTGATTTAAATAAGTGAAAGAAAAACCTCAGAGACTTTTATGAAACATTTTTGTTTAACAAAAGAAGGAAGCTGAAAAGCAAGCATGTTAAAAACATCGCCGTCCATAGGATTTCCCCGTTATTTTTAATTTAAAGTCTTCTATTTAAAATATAAGACTTTAACGTCTTCTATTTTAGATTCTTAGCAAGACAAAGTGCTTTTACACAGTAATTGAGTTAACAAGCTATTATCCTTCAGTAAAAGCTCGAAAAATTACACCTGTGCAGGTGTATTTCAAAAGGGTGATGTAACTACAAGTCTTAGGCCCTGTAGTTATCTTGTATGTATCACTGAAGCTGTTGTTACTAAAACCTAAATACACTTAAAAAGACAACTGATCTAAAAGGAGCAGTATTAGTTCCTTGGAATATTTTTGCACTTTGAAGAAGCCTGTAATTTTAGTAGCATTTTTCAGTAAGAAGTTAATTGGTAGCTCTGAGTGGTGCTAGCAGGGAGTATGAACTTATCACATCATAGATCCCACTTTGCCAAAATAAATGCTCCTTAAAAACCATGGATTGCGGGGAATGATGATTAAATATATAATTTGGACTAAAATGTCACCTTAGGCTTTGAGCTGAGGTGTTATCGCTCTTGATCCCAGGCTATAGACAATTTCAATCAGCTTGGTGTTACCAGATTCCCATGGTATTTGAAGGGTGTGAACACACTGATGTCCTAAGCCCTGGAATCACAGAAAGACATGAGAAATTTTCAGATTATATTTTTTCCGGAGCTTTTAACTCTTGATTCCAGGAAATGTGCAAATGTGACTTAAAAAAAAAAAAAAAAAAAAAAAAAAAAAAAAAAAAAAAAAAAAAAAAAAATACTTTTTTTTTTAAAAAAAAAAAAAAAAAAAAAAAAAAAAAAAAAAGCAAAGGTACTATCTCTTTAAAACTCTGTTGATAGTAACTAGTAACACTATCACACTAGTGTTGCTCAGGTCATGTGTACAAAAAATGACATGTGCAGGTAACTACCATGATTAGTCATTCATTAACTTACTCCTTGGTTTAGGAGTTCATTTACCTTTTGGTTTCATTTTTCATTAACAAAAGCACCATATTTTGGGGGTATTTCTAAAGTGTTTCAAACTTATTTAAGCAAACAATTATATAAATCAAAATTCAAGTATTTGCAGCTGAAACATTTGTTCTGAAATGTTCTTTTCTTGCTTTGCTTTGTCCCACAGTTCTGGTACCAGGTTTGCAAGGACCTGAAGGTAATGCCAGGAATGAACTGAGAAGGGAAGGAAGGGAGGCCAAAATAGCAGAATTAATTGTTCCATTCACATGGCTTTTCTGCTTGGGAATAAGTTCACATTGTAAACAGGAGAGAGGTGTGGTTTGTAGATAGGACAGGAAATCCTTAGTTCTAATCCTTGCTGTGTTGTTGGTTCCCTTGGAGACCTTCAGCAAATGCATTCTGTCCCTGGATTTTTAATTGGAAATAAACTGGGGATGATAGCCCTTAACTAGCTTGGAGGAGCAGCCTTTCACTTTCATAAACATTCATAATGTGTGTGAAAACAGCTCATGGCACTCAGGCTTGAAAAAAACTCATCTTCTGCTCTGAGGGTAACTCCTCACCCTGTCTGCTCTGAGGACCAGGGACCTTTGGGGCTGGAGTCACCAGAGCACACACGGGGCTGTGTTTCTCTCACTTGTTCTGGTGCAAAGTAGATGCTTCACTGGGGACAGAAGGAAATGTAAACTCCTATTGTCTGGTGTGATTTTCTCTCTCATCCTCTGGGCCTAGTGTAATCACATTTCTTACATGTTTCACCTTGCATGCCTGTGAATGAGGGTGTGTTAGGGGGAGACCCCACTGAGAAAAGTGCCTTTCAAGGAGGGTCTGTGTGTGATCCTCTTTAGAAACCTCAGCTCTGGCTGTTAAGTGGTGTGGCAGTGCCCTGTGCCCTGGGGCCCCACACCCCAGAGGCAGAAGCCTGGCAAAGAGTTCAGCCATGTCTGATGGGAAGGGTCCTGGAACCAGCAGAGGATGGTGCTGGGAATCCTGCAGGAGCACAGAGCCGAGAGGTGTGACAGCCCTGCAGGGAGTCAGGGCAGAGATTCTCATTTTTTTTTAGTGCAGATTCTCTCAATTGAGGTAAATGATAGTGTAAGTGATGAATCAGACTTACAGGCATGTCATCCTGCTTTAATTAGGGAGAACTGCAGTGACAGATTGTGCTAATAGTAGCATGAAAAGGCTGAAGTCCAGACTCCTTGAAAGTGTCCATACCTCAGGTTCCTCACTTTTGTTTCTCTCTCAGTGCTTACAGACACAATTTCAGAGCTACTGAGCACACACAGCTTGTGCTGGTCCAGAGGAGTGATGGAAAAATCTCTAGAATTGAGTGACAATTTTCTTCCATCACATAATTAGAGGAGGAAAACTCACTAAAGAGTTGCCTATTACTTACCAAACCTTGTTGGCTTTTCACTTGACTGCAAACATTTTGAATTGTCAAAACTTCTAAACTGTTGCTGAAATTCAGACAACTTTCCCGGTGCTTGTTTGTGACTACTGGTATTTAAAAATGCATTCCATCCTTGCCCTGAAAAGCTTTATTAACTAGGCTAAATCTGAAAGACAACATCGAGAGCCTAAAGAAACTTGGTTTTGATTTGCGCATCATTTGTCCTGAGCCCGGTATGATGTCCTGAATTTAGCTATGAAGTTTTAATGTGTAGAACCCTTTTCTCTTTTATTGCTGAGCTATAAGAATCAGATTCATAGAATAGTCTAGGTTGGAAGGGACTTTAAAGATCATCCTGTGCCACCCCCTGCTATGGGCAGGGAAAACTTCCACTATTGCAGGGTGCTCCGAGCCCCATCCAACATGGCACTGGACACTTCCAGGGATGGAGCAGCCACAGCTACTCTGGGCAACCTTTGCTGGGTCCTGGCCACCCTCACAAGGAAGAGTTTCTTCCCAGTATCCCATCTAACCCTTCCCTCTGGCAGTGGGAAGCCATTCCCCCTTCTCCTGTCACTCCAAGCCTTTGTAAATAGTCTCTCTCCATTCTTTCTGTTGGCTCCTTCAGGTACTGGAAGGTGCAATTAGAATCACTCTGAAGCTTCTCTTCTCCAGGCTGGACAATTCCAAATCTCCAAGCCTTTTCTCCCAGCAGAGTGCTCCAGCCCTCTGATCATTCTTATGCCTCTTCTGGACTCTCTCCAACACCATCATGTCCTCCCTGTGCTGGGACCCCAGGGCTGGAAGCAGCTCTGCAGGTGGGGTCTCAAGAGCAGAGTATCCACCTGACTGCCCAAAAGCATCTTTCAATGTTTGCATGATCTATTCTTCCTATGCTTTTCCATTCCTTCTTACATATTTTCTGTATATTCCCCTGCTTCACTTTCTCCCCTTCCCCTTCCAAATCCAAGCCTTGGTATGTCAAACAAGCAAAACCAGGACAAAAGTTCCAGCAAGCCCAGACATTGTCTTTTCATTTTGACTGCGCTGCGCTAGTTCTTCAGGGAAGGGCCAGTACATGCAGAAGGCCAAGTAACTCCTGTGTGGTGTCCAAGACCAGAACTCTGATCACTGAATTATGTGCTCATGCTTCAGACAATGTCATTCTCAACTTGGCAAACGGGAAGCTAATTATAAGACACCAGTGAAAGACAGTTATTTGTTGACGTTGCGCTCTCGTTGCGGGAGGCGATCGGGGCACGCGTCAGGAGTGGCCGTGCCCTGTCTCTGCCGCCGGCGGGCAGGGTCGCGGTTCGGGTGGCTCAGAACGCGGGTTCAACGCCTAAAGGATCGGCGGCAAAGGAAATAAAGAAGGGCCCGGTGCTTGCTTTTCCGAGCTGCTTTTATTTCTCTCCCGCGCGGGGATGGAGCTGTCGGTGGCGCCGCGTGGCTCTGGCAGCGCGGCTTTCCCGGGCGGCAGCAGCGCCGGCGCCGGGCAGATGACGCAACACAAAACCCCCACTGCTCCAATTCCCCCTTTTTTGTATAATTTTTATGATAGTGTTGAGGGGATGATGGCAGTGGCAATGGTGTCTAATTAAACTTTGGATTCTTTCTACCATCACTGAGGGGGAGAGGGTTCCCGGCTGGAGTTGGCAACACTTTTAACAAACAGTTTTCTACAAACACTAATAACAACAGAAATTAGGCACAGCATTAACACAACTAAACAAATGTCTTTAAAGACAGATGACATCCATCCGGACAAACTTCATTCTGTAAAGATGTTCAGTTGTTTCCACATGTTGTCCGGTACGGACGTCACCTTGAATATGAAAGAAAGAAAACACATGAGGAAACTTAACAATAAGTTTCACCAGAAAATAAATATAGGAATTCTTTTTTCTTCTTTCAGTTGGAGGCTACAGCTACATCAGCTGGGTCCTCCAGCAGCGACAGGGTGGTATTTCGTTGGTGTGGTTTGTAACTGTCTTCTCTGTGCTCTGTCCTATTCATATCTTCGCATGGGGCAGTACTGTGCTCATGTGCTAATTTTGTTGGTCATTTTCTTTATGTTCCTTTTCTTTTCCCCTTCTTGGTGGAACCAGGGGGGCCTTCCTTTGATAGGGACAGTCCCTTACAAAATGTCCTTTTTGCTTGCAGTGAAAACATGGACATAGTCTTGACACTTACGATGATGTGGAAGGTAGTGGAGCCTCTGCTCCTGCTGTGGTGACTTTCTTTGGTGCTTCTGCTTGAGGAAGTCTTGCTTTTCTGGTACATTCTTCTATACTTAGGTCTAACAACGGTGGTGGCGAAGAAGGAAGGCTGAGTCTTGCAGTCTTCATTTGCACCTTCAGTTACGATGTTTATTATGATGTCATCTTGGGCTTTTGATCTAGGAGTTCTCTTTTTCACCACCTTTCTGACTTTGCCTACAAAATCTAGAAACACTTCATTGAAGGGAGATACAGGGGGTAAAGCCAGGGTAATTGGAGGATGGGAAGAGGAGAAGCCAGATCACAACTGTGGGTTTTGAGACAGGGGAAGGGAACAAAGGAAAAAGTGATTATGGGAAGTAGAAGGAGGACCACAAGATGGGGACCAAGCCATGCAGTGTCCAACATTTTGTGACTCAAGGTAAGGGGGAAGGGAGCAGGTGAGAAAAGGATTATGGGGAGAAGAACCACAAAATGAAGGCAAAGCTATTTGACATTCTCCATTCTGAGACTCTGGGTGAGGTGAGGAATCTGGGGGACGATCTACAGGTTTTACTACATTTAAAAGGGGTGAGGTATTAGGGTCTAGGGAAGGAGCTCTGACAGGGTGATCAGTCCTGCCAGAGCCAGAGGGGAACCGGGGGAGATGTGGGCAGCTAGGGAGACCCACAATGTGGGGGCAGCTGTGCACTTGCTGCAGGTGGTTTGCTCCCCTCAGCTCACCCGGTTCGGGATGCTGGGGGTCAGGAACAAGGGGAACTGGAGCAGGGGTTTCAAGAGGAACTGGGGAAGATTTATTTGGATTTTCTTTCACTTTGTTTTCCATTACTAATGTAATAGTTTTCAATTTTATAAAGAGAGGATAAAAATTACTTTTTGATTCACCATCTATCATTGCATCTTCTCCAAATTTCATTCCGATCTTATCCCAAAATCTTAGCGTTTTTACTTCATCAAAGGCAGTAGTTGGAAAATGAAAGAAAATCCATTTAACAAATCTCTTAACTTTTCCCTTAGATAAACAAAACCCTCTTCCCATCAAGGAATCCACAACTTGGTTATAAACTTCCTTCTCCCTAGCAGACAGTCTCGCTCTACCCCATTGTACCCTAGTCGGGTCCATCCCGGCCACTAGAATACTCAGACTGAGACTATTTGCTAGGTTCTTTTCCACCCACCTCCGAGGTAAAACCAAAACTAAAGGAAAAACACCCAAGAATCACCGGCGCGAAGGGGTGTTTGAATGTAGCGCACTACGCCTCCCCTAATCCCCGGGAGTCACCCCCACCCAACTTCAGGGTACCCCAGTCGCGCCCGTCCCGGCCACTGGAATACTCACGAAACCGAAGATTCCTGGAAACGAAAATCTCGGAGGTAGTCCTCGATCCAGGGGAAAGCTCGTCTCACGTCTGGAACGGAGAGTGTTGGCTTTCCCGCCCGCCGGGAGCTGCAGCAACCAGAAAGTGCACGAAATCACCGGCGGCGCTTGACGGACCACGAACTTCACTTGGCAGGGCCGTCCGTGCACCCTGGAGACAGTCCTTTCCGTGGGGTCTGCGCCTCACCTTGTGCGCCAAAGGGACGCTGCGCCCCGGTACCGGGAGGCGATCGGGGCACGCGTCAGGAGTGGCCGTACCCTGTCTCTACCGCCGGCGGGCAGGGTCGCGGTTCGGCTGGCTCAGAACGCGGGTTCAACGCCTGAAGGATCCGCGGCAAAGGAAATAAAGAAGGGCCCGGTGCTTGCTTTTCCGAGCTGCTTTTATTTCTCTCCCGCGCGGGGATGGAGCTGTCGGTGGCGGCACAAAACCCCCACAAACCCCCACTGCTACAATTTGTAATTAAGCCTGGCAATACATCACAACGGTATTGCCACAGCCAAGTGCTGCCATGAAGGAGGAAAAGGTGTCCCTTTCTTCAGGGAGAAGTGCAATGTATCCATGATCTGCAGCAGAAGATACAGCTCAATAGAGCTTTGAAGGGAGGACTCCTGAGAAACAGGAAAAGGGCAAGTTGTTTAATGTGATTCTTGTTGGCTAAACCTAGATACTGTTTAAAAATCCTAGAGAAGAGGAACCCTAAATTACTTTCCTTATTGACCTTCTCTCCTTTCCCTTTCTGTGCCTGTAGCATCTTTGCACTTCACTACGCAGAATAGAATACATTTTCCTTTGAGGTTCCCTGTACATACTGGTTTTGACATGATCCTGCTTCTTGCTTTGCCCATCAACAGAGAGACCTGGGTACTTCTATCCCAGAGGAAAAAGTCTTTTATTTTTTAAACTGAAAGTTATTGTATAAAAGACTCCAAGAGGGATGGAGGGATAGAAAGTAAAACTTTACTGATACTTAACTATCAATTTATTCAAACTATTCTCGGGCAAACACAAGTGTGCAGAATGTCAGAATTAGGTATCCAGGGGTCTTTGAAAAAAGCCATCCCTATAAACCAGGGGGAATTTAGAATGTGGTCACATAAGGACACAAGATCCAGCTGATAATGTCTAGCAAGCACGGCTCTGAGCTGCAATAATTAGTCACAGAACATCTGCCCAGCCCACTGCATGCAAAGAGAAATGAGTTCATCTGAGCCCCTAGTGCAAGGTTTAACTATTAAAAAGTGGTTCAGGTTGACTTCTTTCACTTTGCTTAACAGCAGATGAGAGTTTTCATGGGGTTCCAAGTGTTATTCCCAGCCTTGAGCTGGACCACTGGGTAAAGCTACATTTCTGAAGTGTCATTGCTTTTATTTTATGGGATTAAAAGTAAACTTCTCCTATCCCATTGCTTCAACCAACATGAGGCTTAGATGGTCTCTATAGATAAGTTCCTATTGCTCTATTCCACATAGGAACTTTTGACTCAATGACCAATTCCAATTAAGTTTTGTAGTAATGGATGTTCCAAGAATATTCAGCTGCTTACAGCTTCAAGAAAATGCAATTGAATTTTTGCCTGCACAGTAGATTTTGGCCTGATAAACTCCAGAGAATATACACTGGAAATGTGGTATTAAAATGATTTATCTGTGGAAAACACCTTAATCAAAATTTGCATCCTTCTGGACAGCAGAGAATCCAAATATGAAGAATGTGTGTCTCTGAAGAATATGTGTTTTAGGGACCAGATTTGCCAAGTCCTCCTGCTTCCTTAGCTGCTCATTTCTGCTTTTTGTAGAACCCTCTTGGTGACATTGAATCCAAGGATGAACAACCCTGATGGACGAAACCACAAGGTTAGAATAAGTCAGTTTTCACATTCCATATTTTAACACAGTTGCAAGAAGCGATAAGAAAGTGGGTGGCAAATGAGAGCTGCTCTTTGAAAGTACAGAGCTGTTCTCTAGAAAAATCTGAGCCACAAGAGAATGCACATAAATATTCAGTGGCAGAAAATTACCTTCTACCCAAAAAGCAAAAATATTTCTGGTTTGAGAGAAACTTCTTCTTTCCAAAACTGGACAAAGCTAGGAGTATTTCCCAGAATCTGGAAGTTCCCTGGACTCTGAAGGGACTCTGGGAAACCAAGAAGCTGATCAGTTGTGCTCCTGGTGGTTATATAAGAAAGGCTGCAGGAACAATGGATCAGTTACAGGCAAAATGTGAAAGTTTAAGAACTTGCAGTGCTTCAAATGGAACATTTGGGGCTCAGCAAAACTGTTTGGTTTCTCAGAGTGTGTTTGAGCAGCTCTTGTCAATATTGTGAGCACAATGATTAGTTTAATCAAACACATTGGCAGCAGCAGTTATATTGTACCGTACCTGGATGTTGCAGCCAAAATAGCTGCTAGGAAAGTCCAGGGTAAGGAAGCAAAAAGGGTCCTTGCTTGGTATCCCACAGATGTTTAATTCAGCCACATGGTAAGCTGTTCAGGGTCCCAAGGCAAGGCTCGTGGGGGGAGTCCAGGTTTCTGTGTCTCGAGAGGAAGGGGCTGAACAGTGGCATGGGGGCAGAGCAAAGATGGGGGCCAGTAGGGGAGTAGGGAGGGAAAACACCTTAATCTGAGGTGAGGGACATAGGAACAAGGGGAAGGAGCCAACGGGCTCTGACAGCTTTCCTTGCGTCTCCCTATCTCAGGGAATGCCTCTCAGGGTCTCCACACCCGGACACAAAGCTAATTTGATTTAAAGAAAGGCTGTGATCTCGATGAAATGGTCTAAGATAAGAAGGGGAGGTACAGTGTTTTGGTTTTTTCTAGCAAGGGTTTCCCATACACAAGAGGGTCAATTTAAGTTCTTCTTCTGCTTGATTCTGCCCAAGTTCTTGAACTTAGTCTGTCACACTGCAAAGCAGTGCCCTAGTTAAATTTGTTGCTGGTCATCATCAGCAAAAGCTGAATCATTTTTTCTGTATTTTTTCCAAATAAAAACAAAAGGGTTTTAAAAGGCCTTAGTTTTTCTACATTGTAGGAAAAAAAAAGAGGACATTTCAAAGCTTGGAAAACTTCCCTTTCCAGCATAAAAATAAAATGTAAAACTTACAAAATCCTCTCTGCTTGCTCTTACCCAACACTATGGAAACAGGCAGATTCTTCAGGGATCCTCAGCAACAAAGTAGTTGTTGTAATCAAAACTTTGGTTTACTTGGACCCTCTAAAAATCAGGTCATTTTGAAATTCAAACGTCTAACCCCCTCTTCATAGCAGGTTATTTGAACACATTAACCATAACTTCAGTTTAAAGTACACATAAAAACTTCTGTCCACAGGAACCAGCCACTAGTGAGGGACCATAGCCCTGACACCTTGCTTCTGCTCTGCTGCTCAAAAAGAGCCTTTCATCCCTTAATTCACGTACATATCCACTTTCATTTTCCTGCTTTCTCATTTTTTTGGCTATGATTTTGCTCAGAGCTCCTCTTCTTGCATCAGCTGGGACATTGCATAAGGAGGAAATAGTTTGCTTAAAGGACTGTATTTCTATTGTTCTCTTGGAATAGTGAGAAGACAACTGGACTTTGGCTCTGCCACAAGAAGCCAGAAGCTGCAGTGTTCATTTTGCAGCAGCCTGAAATAAATCCTTCCTCTGCCTGCTGCTCCTGCTGGTTTCCCTGTGCAGTGCCAGCATCAGCAGAGCTGTTGCAAACAGCCTGGGTGTAGGACCAGTTTCATCCAGCATTTCCAGAGCCTGCCCACTCCTTCCCTCCCAGGCTGGTGGTTTATGTTTGCCATCCTCATAGCTTCTGCAGACTGCTCCAGATCAAATGGGGCTCCTCTGGAATGAGAACCTTGCTTTTACTTTCCTGGGGATGGGTGGTTGTCTTACCAGGAGAGCCCTGTGAAATCTGAAATATGTAAAATTGTGGATTCATTGCCACATTCCTCCAGAACTGCAGTGGGACATTCCCTTGAGGGGGAGGCTGGAGAAGCAATAAACAGGGCATTGGAAAACACCATCCGCAGGGCCCAACCTGACATCCCTAACTCTGCCTGAACCTAGAGGATGTTTATCCAGCGCTACTCCCTGCATTTGGAAAAGTGGTTTTGGCCACGAGACAACTCAAACTGAGAGCTCTGTGAGGAGCATTCCAATCCACCTAGGACTTCTGTTGACAGCAGTAATAAACTATCAAACCTTTGTTTTCCCAGTCTCTGATGTTTCCAGGGCTCCTAAAGAGGATACAGTGATGTGCACTGTTAAATATTGTTGCTCCCCATTTTGTTCTGATCCACACCAACAGAATAATTCAGGTGAGTCTTTTCACTTGCATCATGTCAAAAATCACTCCAGAGTTGAATGGGAAGATAAAAAAAGTTTACTGGTCTTGGAAACAAGCTTTATTCCCTAAACATCAGCAAACCCAATGATTCTATCATAGTTTTAAGGTGAAACTGCCCTTTCTGCTTTACAAATTTTGGTTGTTTCTATTGTAGGATCTGCCTGATGTAGCACTGAAATGCAGCCACTTCTGGGGTAGGTTTTGAAATGTTTGGTGGAAAAGATCACAGCATGGATCAAAAAGAAACAGATCCTATAATTTTATTTTACAGAAATGAAAGATAAGTTCTTCATTAGAAGATTGACAAGGAGCTTAAGTGATCTAGATTTTGTTCTCTGCTCTGTTTCATGTTTGTTGTGCCAGCTAAGCAAATAATCTCATTTCTTCCTTCCTTTTTTTTCTAAAAGAAGGAAAAATAATTATGGTTTCTTTAGCCAGATTCATGCATTTGGACATCCTACTGCACCTAGCATTCAGGAGCCTGACTTCTTATTGCTACATGAATGTCTAGAATTGCTATTTACTAAGAAAGACCTGAAAGTCTATGTGTAAAATAAATTCTGTGCAAGATTTTATGTGATTTCAGAAAAATTATAAAGGAACACAATATGAAAATGTCATAAAATGAAGAAGGTGAAGTTTAGATGAAATATTAGGATGCAATTATTACTTGTGAGGGTAGTGGAGGGCTGGGATGGAATTTGCAGAGAAGTTGTGGTTCCCACAGCCCTGGAAGTGTCCAAGGCCAGGTTGGATAGGGCTTGGGGCTGGGACAGTGGGAGGTGTCCCTGCCCATGACAGAGGGTGGCGCTGGATGGGATTTAAGGTCCCTTCCAACACAAACTATTCCAGCATTCCGTGATTCTGTGTAAAATTGGGAAACAGAAGGCAGGGAACAATGACTCTTGGTGGAATTCATCTAAGAACAATGAAAATAGTGCCCTGAAAAAATATATAGCTATAAAAACCTCTTTTAAAATAGTAAACATGTGAAGGAAAATGAAGACATCATCCCTTTAAATGTATATACAAGGCTCTTGGTTTTTTATTTCCCATCTGGGAAGG